ATGAAGAAATAGGGGATAGCAGATGGGAATGGCGTTTCTATTTGGGACAATGAAATATTCTATCGGGTAGTGGTGAGGTTGAAGAATTTTGTGAATACACTAAACACCACTGAGTTGTACACCTGAAAATGTGAATTTTATGTATGTGAATTATAACTCAATAAAGCTGTTATTAAAAAAAGAAGAGGAAAGAAAAGTTATTGCAGAGAGTAGAGTGTCCAGATAAAGGAAGTAGGATTCCCAGGTAGCAGAGACATCCTTGTAGCTGATGAAGCTTGCGCTCGGGACCACTCATTGCTCAGGACCCCATGAGAGTAGGGAGCTGCTGGGAGAGGTGGAATGTCCTAGTTGGGAGGGAAGCCAGGATGGATTCAGGAAGCATATCCATGGAAGGATTCTGGTAAATCATCATAGAGATCTCTAAATAAAGGCATCTGTATCTCTAAGGCTCCAGTAATTTATTTATTTTCTCATTCTAAATACATATTCATCCTGATTTTATATTTGTAATTGTATATTCTTTCCCTTTAAAAGAACTCTCCAAGCCCTGGCCGGTATCGCTCAGTGGTTAGAGCGTCCGCCTGCGGTCCAGAGAGACCCGGGTTCGGTTTGGTTCCCGCTAAGGGCATGTACTTCGGTTGCAGTTTGTCCCTGTTGCAAGGCAGCCACTCGATGTATCCCTTTCACGTCAGTGTTTCTCTCTCTCTCTCTCTCTCTCTCTCCCTCCTTCCCTCCCACTCTATCTGAACAAAAAATGGAAAAATGTCTTTGGGTGAGGGAAAAAAAAGAACCTTCCAAATCACATAAGCTTCAGGTTCCAGAAAACCAAGATCTGCCCCTGCAGATGGTTGAGGATCATTTTGAGGTCATTAAACATGAATATTTAGTGGTGTCACTCATCTTGTGTAATTTGCTCCAACATTACTTGGCTGCTAAGGTGCAGAAGAACATAGAGTTAGGTTCATTCAGAGTTGGGGTTTGAGAGTTGGGAGCACGTAGTGAAAATGTGGACCACAAAATTTAAACTGGATAAGAGGAGAAATAAGAAAGAGAAGTCTGCCCTGGCTGGTTTGGCTCAGCGGTTAGAATGTCGACCCATGGTCCAGAGAGACCCGGGTTCGGTTCCTGCTAAGGGCACGTACCTTGGTTGCGGTTTGTCCCTAGCCCCGGTTGGGGTTGTGTGGGAGGCAGCCACTCGATGTGTCCTTTTCACGTCGATGTTTCTCTCTCTCCCTCCCACTCTATCTGAACAAAAATGGAAAAATGTCCTCGAGTGAGGATAAAGAAAAAAAAAGAAAAAGAAAAGAAAGGAGAGGCCTGACGGATCGTGAGAAAGTGGTGGTATCAACAGGCTACACATGCTGTCGAGGAGGAGGAGTACATAGGAAGAACTTGAAAGATTGAGTTGGAAGATATATAAAGTGTGATGCTGGAGGTAAAATGATAAAGCCCATATGGGTGATGACTGGAAGTGATTTGAAAGCACAGGAGATAACATGGTCATTTGCTCTAGGGAAATGTCTGAACTTTGAGAAGTTCTCCAAGAACCTGCATAATCTTTCCCTTGCCCGCCTCTGGAATCTCACCCTCTGACCCAGTGTCCCTCTCACTCACCTCCCTGCTGCCTTCATTCAGGTCCTTACTTTACACCTAATAGTTTCTCTTCTGTCTGAAATATTCTTCTCCACTATTTGGCCAGGCCAACTTCTACCCATCCAGAGGACCTCAGTTTAAAGTCTTTCCCAACCAGCCCATTCTCCTTCCCGGGGGTAGATCCTGTTATACACCCAAATAAGACTCTGTTTTTCTCTCACCTTACTTAGGAACTGTATTGTGGAAGGGGTTAGTCATCTGTAAAATGACTTTCTGCAGGATAGAGTAGTACCGGAATTAGTCTGGCTTTCCTCCATACTGTATCTGGGGTCTTCAGGGACTTGATCATACTAGGACATTCTGTAAAATATCTGTTGTATGAATGTAATTTAAGATACTTATATGTAATTGCTTTTTCCAGCATACCTTTTAATATATAAAGATATAAAATCTAAAATGGCATATATGTAAAAACAATGCAAATTTCCTTTCTAAATTACATACATAGAGACATATCTATGTTCAACCTCTCCTCAACACTTATTTGATCTCCAGAAATACTAATCTAAAACTACACAGTTGCCCTGGTCGGTTTGGCTCAGCGGGTAGAGCATTGGCCTGCGGATCAAAGGGTTTCATGTTCGATTCCTGGTCAAGGGCATGTTCAGGAGGCAATGAATCAATGTGTCTCTCTCACATTGATGTTTCTGTCTCTCTCTCCCTCCGTCCCTTCCACTGTATCTAAAAATCAATGGAAAAATATCCTCAGGTGAGGATTAACTAAACAAACAAACAAATAAATAAAATACAGTCGATGGGAAATATACTTAAAGATTTCTTATACAGAAATAAGGTGATTGAATCAGTTATTTGAAATATTTAAAAAATATATTGTAACTTCCAAAAGCCAAATATTCAAGATATATTACAATTTTTCATTAAAATGAACTTTGTAACAGGAGCGGAGGGAGTGGTAAATTTTTGAAAGCCAACAGTTAACTATGGACCTGTGGACTAGTCTTATGCTATAACGTTAATTATAAATACTTTTGACTCAGTGTACAGACACACTGCTTATGGAATAAATAGAAAACTAATCTGATGACATTTTCATTTGGACAACTTGTGGCAAATTTGTGTTCACATACTTAAAAAGAATTGCTGTGATTATCAGCTACCATAAAAATTACACTCACTTGTGTTCTAACAAGTCTTCACAACAACACCCTTGCTTGTTCTTTCTTTCTCAGTCCTCCTTGTGGTTATGTCTTTTATTCTTCCTCAAAACAAGTCTGATTCTCTTCTCTTTGCATCTTTCAACTATCCGGCTACTGCCTTCTCAAGGAACACTTCCCTCTTATCCTATCTTACCGAGTCCCACTTCCTTATTCTTTCACTTTATTGTGTTTATTTCTCTAGAAGCACATTTATCACAATCTGTACTCTCTAAACGATATATTTGTTTACTATCCTATGTCACCACCAGAATGTCAACTCAGTGAGCGTAGGGACCTTTGTATGTCACCACCCCCGACATCTAATTTCCTGCGACAACTGTACATTTTCATACTCAGGGGAAGTCCTGAATATGAATGTGTTAATAAGAAAATGCCTAATGTTACTGTTTCCAGAAACACTCATTTATCTCCTAATATTTTTAGCACTTTTATCTATTATGTATATTACCTTCTAGAATTTATTTTGGGACTTTGTTTTTCATAAAGAAGTTTGAAAAACCAGGTATCGTAATTGTAAAACACACACAAGTAGGCACATAGCACAGCCAGTAAGTTTCCCTTTTCTAGTCCAACATCCCACGGGTGGATCTCACACAAATACAGTCAAGTGGAAGAAACTGGGAACAAAATGAGGCAGTGTGAAGGCTTTACAATGTCCCAGAGACAGACTCAATCCAATCCTTTGGCTCCACCAAATCCTAAGCGTTCCCACCCCGCTGGCAGGGCTGCTCCGGGGGCCAGCCCACGCGAGCCCGGTGGAAGCCCCTCCGTCCGCCCCTCCAGGCTGGTATCTGGGGCGCTCACCGCCGCGCCCTGCCCTCCGGGCCCTGCCCTCCGGCGTCCCGGGCAGTCTCCCTGCGGGCCGTTTCGCTTCGCAGGCTGTCAAGCAGAGAAAACTCCGCAAACTTAAGGTCTGCAGAGCACAGGTTCCGAACGGAAACCCGACGCGCCAAGATGGCAAACCCCGCAGAACGTTCTGAGGTTCCTCACTCCCCCCAGCGCCCAAGCCCGGGCCGCGACGCCCTCGCCTCGCCTCGGCCGCCTTCCCCTGCGAGCGCCCGGCCGGGGGCTCGGGCCGCCACCGCCGCCGGGCGGCCGGGGCCCCCGCTCCGCTTCCCGAACTACAGATCCCAGGGTGCCTCGAGGACGGCGGCTCCCTCCCCCTCTCGACCCCTCCTCCCCGTCGCCGCCTCCCCGCCCTTGTTGTTTTGGCTGGAAGCGCTCGGGCGGAGTTTCAGAGAAAGTCTGGGCTGCAACGGGAGCCAGCCCGAACGTGGGAAGGGGCGGAGGAAAGGGAGGAAGGGAGCCCGGGCCGGGAGAGGGAGGGGCCGGGGCCGGGGGCCGGGCGGCTCAGAACCTGCCGCGCGCCCCGGGTCGGGGAGGCGGCGCGGGACAGTGGGATCCATCCCGAAGCCGAGCAGCCGAGCGCCCGGTTCCCCGCCGCTCCCCGCCCTCTCTCGCGGCCGCGAGCGCGAACCTACCCTTCGGCGGGACCAGCTCCCTCCCCAGCACCCGTCGCCCAGCGACGCCCCGCGTTTCGCCGCCGACCCGGGACCTCCCCTGCGCTCGCTGCCCACGGGGCTCTCGCGGCTTCCCCTTTCCTCCCCGCTTCCCGGGCGTGCGGGGAAGTGACCCGCCCTCCCCCGGGGAGAGGAGGAATAGGATAGCCCGGGGCGCACCGAAACCGAGAGCGGGAGAGCCGGAGCGGGCGCCGCGCTGGTTATTGTGTGAGCGAGTGAGTGTGTCCGCGCGTGTTTGTATGTGCGCGTGCGAGGCAGCGTCTGTCTCGGGGAGCGCTCCGGGGAGGTCCTGGCCCTAGGGGGCGGAGCGCAGGGGGCAGAGGCCCCGGCTCGCTGCCGGGGCAGAGTCCCGCGGAGCCCGATCCCTGCTGGGGGCTGGCGGTGCGGGGCGCCTGGCGGCGAGGCGGACGCTCTGAAGGGAGGCCGGGCTGCCCTCGGCGGGCGGCGGCCCCTGCCCCGAGGTGTCGGCCTCGGCGGCGCAGCTCGCTTCTGCCCCTGCCCGCGGACCCTCGGAGGAGAGGCTCGGCCGAGGAGCTCCGGCGCACCGCGGAGCCAGCCCACCCCGCCCACCCCGTCGGACTGGGGTCCGCAGCCGCGGAGCGAGGTCCCCCGCGCTGCTCCGCCGGCAGGCGTCGGCTGTGTCGGGAGCGCGCCCGCCTGCCTCCCAGCTGCCCGGGTCGGGGCCCGAGAGGCGCGCACCATGAGCGGCGGCGAAGTGGTCTGCTCGGGATGGCTCCGCAAGTCCCCCCCGGAGAAGAAGTTGAAGCGTTATGTAAGTAGAGCTTCGGCCCGGGCTCCAGGGGTCCAAGGGCCTCGGCGCCGGCACCCTTCCCGGGCCGGCCAGCCGGCGGCTGCAGCCGGACGCGCGCGGGGCTGGGTGGTCCCCATCTCCTGCCCCGGCGCCTCTGGGACCGAGTTTGCACACTCACGCCCTGGCCTCCACTTTGCCGGGGAACTTTCTTCGTCCAGATTCCAGACGCCTGCTCTGCGGGCCTCGTCGGCCCAGGAGAGGGCCCGGGATTTCCAGCTCGATACTCGCTGAATTTTATGACTTCTTCCAGCAGGGCTGGGAGAGGAGCGTTCTCCTTCCCGTGGATCTGCAGCTAATCGCGGGGGGACTGCGGGGCACCGACTTTCCCGCACTGAGAAACCCGCCGAGGTCGTGGAGGTCCCCGGTCCGCACACCCGCCTGCTTTCTCCTGCTGTGGGTTACGGGAAGCAGGCTGTGGATCTGGGAAGTTGGCATTAGACACAAGTATCTCAAACCCGCAAAAAGAGAAGAATGAGAAGTTAATACACGCCCTGCCGTTTGCTTAGCAGGGTTCACATTTTCGCGGTTTTGAATCCAGTGACATTGGAGTTTGGCCCGAGAGCCATGGCAGTTGGCTGCGAGAGGGAGGCGCTGGGGGGAGCCTAGTGGCTGGTGTTAGGGCGCCTTGGACACGCTGTCAAGCCCCACAGGAGGGGACAGCTGAGGCTCGTAAGGATTTCTGTGGGTTTTTTCCCCCAAGCCACCGGAGTGGCTTAAATAGTATTTGTGTAATTGGTACAAGATGCCGGTTATGTGTTAAACCGTCTTAGCTGTTAGGGAAAATATTGCTTGGCAGAACTAACCTTACTTTGGTGGAAATCTGTGCCTTCTTCTGGGGTCTGGGATCTGATCCGCTTCTCCCTCATTGTTTCTTTGGTCATTGCGCCCCTGCAGAGGAAAGAAGTGACACTTTTGCCCTGGCAGATGGAGCAACTTTTTCTAGTAAGATATATTTCAAAAGCAAAATTTACGCCCCCTTAAATATAAATTTACTTTCCAAGGGGCCAGCACTTCTAAAGGAACCTGTTTCTTGTTGAAAGATACCTACACCACGTATCAGAATGAAGTTAACCCTTTCAGTCTCTGCTTGCACGGAGTGAAGTGCAATACTTAGCTTCACTGATAACTGACCAATGAGTTTTACTCTCTGCCAGAATTTGTTATAGACAAGTAATTCTCATTTAAGGATTTGATGTCATAAATCCTAAGAAAATTCTCCAGATATTTTGAGTCCTTCTAAATTCTGTCTCTCCACCTATCACAGTTTGCCTTAATATCCTGGTAGAGATGCTAACTTTATTCTAAAACTTTGGGAGAGGAAGTGGGTTTTTTTTTGGTTTTTTTTTTTTTTTTTTTTTTAGCTCTTAGAAGGATGTATGTGTGCAAGAAGAGGGAGTAGAGAGATAAAGAAGTGTATTTGTTTTGAGGAGGCATATTTAGGAAATACCTAAACCTAAGTGATTGGGTTCTTCGAGGAACTAAGGAACATACATTTATTGAAACTGGTAATAATAATAGAAGTTTAATGCATTCTTTCACATGGTTGGTCTATAGTGCTCTCAAAAGATGCTGCACACTAGAGTAGGCACCATAAGATTAGGAAACACAGTAGGAAAAAAGCCCTGCCTTTTGGACTTGAAATTGAATATAATATAAGCCAGGAATAAAATCAGCCAAAAGCTTATGTCTTAACAAGGACCCAAAATAAGGAAAGTCCAAAAATTTTAAAAGTTATTTCATTTGATCATTCCAACAGATTTATGAGGTAGCTCTATTTCTGTTTTACAGATAAGAAAAGAGTCTACATGACCACAATGTGCTGGAGGCAGAATTTGAACCAGGATCTGCCTGACTGACTGGGCTATAAAAGGTTAATTCAGACTAGACCATCTCTAAAGGTCCTTTCAGATTATAATTTTCTAGGAGTCTATATGAATATTAGTTCAGAATGCAAGGAAGAGTTTGGGTGTGGAATAAACAGGCATTGCTAAAGAAACATAAGACCCTGCAAGTTGCTTTCAGAGTCTAAGGGAAGATGAGACAAGTATATGAAAAAGTGAGCCGACCATGCAGCCTGGTTTTTGACTGCTCCCAAGCTGGGTGCTGTGGGTTTTGTAAATATATGTTTTGAGGAACAAATTCCGTGTAGTCTGAATTCATGGGAGAGGCAGTGGGCTCCCTAAATTGTATCATCAACTGGGGGAAGAATCTGCCTAACAGCTGGAGGGAGGCTGAGTTTTTCTTGTCTGGAGGAATACTATGGTTTTCTCTACACACTAGTGGGGTACATGGGGATGACCCAGGAAGACAGTGGGCATGGTGGCAGTCAGAATCGAGATGTCCAAGAGGGTGACTTAGGTGAAGCTTGAGTGTATTTTAGCTGTCAAGTTGGTTGCCCAGAAGATTTTGAAAGTCCCAGATTATTGATCTTTTGGCTTTTGTATCTAGTTTTGATTACTTTTGCTAAAGCAGCTTTGACCCTCAAAGATATAGGCATGTATTTATGCATTTCCTATGTTTTTTTTTTCTTTTCATGTAAAAATCTTTCTTTTCTGGATTGAAGGAAACTTTATCGGCCACTGAACAGGCAAGACATTGCTTGATAATGGTTTGTGGTTTTTTTTTTTACTCCTCACCCAAGGATATGATTTTTAGAGAGAGAGGAACAGGGAGAGAGAGAGATTGCCTACTGCCCACATGCTGACCTCGGATCGAATCCACAACCTAGGTATGTGCCCTGATCAGGAATTGAATCTGCAGCCTTTTTGTGTCCAGGGCGATTCTCCAACCAACTGAGCCACCCAACCAGGGCTTGATAATGGTTTTTAATGACTAGATTTGTTAAATTGTTAAATGAGATTTCAGGGAGTTTGAGCATTGATTCTGTTGGGAAACATTTGGCCCATGGGACTTTGACAGTTGTCTCTCTCTTTACAATATTTATAGGGTCGTCCCAACATTGATTAAGATGATCTGTAAGGGCTTTTAAGTGACAAAAGATTGTTTCAGTTTTATTTTTAAAGTCATCTCAAGTTATGGCCCCAATGCATTCCATTTACAACTCCATTTTATGTTCACTGCTGACAGTCAATTTAAGCAGCATTGTTTTTGCTTGTTGGTGTGTTCCTCCCGTAAGGAAGCTTTTCTTGAGTTTCCGAAACTGAGTGAAAGTGGCATAAAAGAGAGTGAGAGAAGGAAAGCCTGGAGTAGTTGGTGGGTTTTCTAGCCTTTTTATCTCTTTGTAACTTTTTCTGTATTTATTTGCAAAAGGGTGAGAACCTCTTGTATGTGTTACATTCTCTGTGAATTTTTTATTTTCTATTTCTCACCCTAGGATATTTTTCTGTTTATCATCAGATAGAGTGGGAGTGAGGGAGAGAGAGAGAGAGACAGAGAGAAACATTGATGTGTTGACTGGTTGCTTCCCGCATGACCCGACCAGGGACGAACTGCAACTGAGTTATGTGCCCTTGACCGGAACTGAACTCTCGACTCATTGGTCCGCGGGCCGATGCTCTAACCACTGAGCTAAACCAGCCAGGGCTCTCTGTGACTTTTTTAAAGTCTAGTTAAAATGGAGGTGAAATTTTATGTGCTTGCTTTCTGTTTTGCTGCCACTATGTTGTAGTTTTGGTCCTGTGTCATATATTAAACAGCTGCCTTTTTACTTCTAAGGATCCAAATGGAATCATGTACAGATCACCACCACTAAGGGATACAAAAACAAACTCTCAGTAGTATGCACGTCACCAGATGCGCTCAGATTTTTAAAGAGTTATTTAAAGAAAAATCAGCCATTTGAAATAATGGTGGAATTTTCATCAGAACTTGAAATTTTAGCTGAGATAACATGTAAGTCTGGAAACAAAGGGTTGATTCAGGCCAGCTGGCTGCCACTATATCTCTGCAGGAGGGACTTCCCTCTGGCCTGCCTCAAGCCTGGACACCAAGTTGGGGCCCCTCCGTAGCCCTGCTGTCAGCACTGGGCAGGCGTGCAGTCTCAGCAGGAGAACCTGCTTCGGAGACCAGGGCAAGGTGGCCTGTTAGCTGCCAGCCAGCCTGGGAGCGAGAACTCAGCCAGCTCTCGGGTATATAATATGCACCCAGCTTGGGATCTGCTGTTCAGCTGTCAGTTAAGATGATGGTTCTTGTCTGGACTTCCAGAACACACCCTCAGTTCTGGAAATGGGCCTAGAAATAGAAATAGCCTGGTCTTCTGGGTGGGCACCTGACGTCTTACATGGAATGGGGCACAGGCAGCCAGAGCAGCAACATCTCCTTGGTTCAAGGACAACCTGGGATCTGTGCTAAGCATGAAGTCTCTGCTCAGTATTGTCACTACATCAAAGATGTCTGGAAGCTCTTTCTGCCCCTTTTGGCAAGTTACCAGAAGCAATCAATGAATTCTGAAGCTTTTGCTTACAGTGACTGAAGTGGCAAAATTACTCCGTTGAAGAAAAATGTTTCCTTTGCAATCCTCATGTTAGTAAACCTTCTATTCAAATTCCACATGTTTTCTTTTTACCTTTTCCAGTGTGGCAAGAACATGGTTTCTGTGAACAAAGATCATCAACTAACAATTGTATTTAGCCTTTATGATAGTTAATGATAGCTAATTCTTTCCTTATGCCTGGGCTTAATGATGAGTACAAAACACTCCATGTAAACCTTGCTGAGATCCTAAGTCTGCATGTCTTTGGGGCTCAGAATTACTGTTAGGAAGGTATATTTGTTTGGAGGGTTGTTTTAGAGTTCTGTTCTAAAAATTTGTTTTTAAGTTTCTTTAAAAAGATCATCTTTGAACAAAATATAATACGGCAAGAGACTTAGATTATCTGGTTGACAGCTGAATTGGTTATTTCATTGTGTTTTGTCATCATAAGTCTGCTTTAAAAATATAAAAGAAATATAATGATAAAGCACGTTTTAAGACTAAATAAAATTCCATATTTTGGAGTCAA